TAATTTTTTGCATTTTTAGAAGAGACGGGGTTTCACCGTGTTAGCCAGGATGGTCTCGATCTCTTGACCTCGTCATCTGCCCGCCTCAGCCTCCCAAAGTGCTGGGATTACAGGCTTGAGCCACCGCGCCCGGCCCTTTTTTTTTTTTCTTAGATGGAGTCTCGCTCTGTCACCCAAACTGGAGTGCAGTACCGCAATCTCGGCTCACTGCAACCTCTGCTTCCTAGGTTCAAGCAATTCTCCTGCCTTAGCCTCCCAAGTAGTTGGCTAATTTTTTGTTGTTGTATTTTTAGTAGAAGATGGCATTTTGCCATGTTGGCCAGGCTGGTTTTGAACTCCTGACTTCAAGTGATCTGCCTGCCTCAGCCTCCCAAAGTGCTTGTATTATAGGTCTGAGCCACCACGCCCAGCCTATTTATTTATTTATTTATTTATTTATTTATTATTGAGACAGAGTCTGCTGTGTTGCCCAGACTGGAGTGCAGTGGCAAGATCTCAGCCCACTGCAAACTCCGCCTCCTGGGTTCAAGAGATCCTCTCACCTCAGCCTGCCGAGTAGCTGGGACTACAGGCATGTGCCACCATGCCTGGCTAATTTTTTTTTTTTTTTTTTTTTTTTTTTTTTTTTGAGACAGAATCTCGCTCTGTCGCCCGGGTTGGAGTGCAGTGGCCGGATCTCAGCTCACTGAAGATCCGCCTCCCGGGTTTACGCCATTCTCCTGCCTCAGCCTCCCGAGTAGCTGGGACTACAGGCGTCTGCCACCTCGCCCGGCTAGTTTTTTGTATTTTTTAGTAGAGACGGGGTTTCACCATGTTAGCCAGGATGGTCTCGATCTTCTGACCTCGTGATCCACCCGTCTCGGCCTCCCAAAGTGCTGGGATTACAGGCTTGAGCCACCGCGCCCGGCCTAATTTTTGTATTTTTTGGTAGAGATGGGGTTTCACCATGTTGGCCAGCCTGGTCTTGAACTCCTGAGCTCAAGCAGTCTGCCCACCTCAGACTCCCAAAGTGCTGGGATTACAGGCATGACCACGGTCCAGCCTCTTTAATATTTAGGCATGAGCCACCGGGTCCAGCCTCTTTATTTTTGAGACAGGATCTGGCTCTGTCACACAGGCTGAAGTGCAGTGGCGCAATGACAGCCCACTGTGCGACTTCCGAGGCTCAAGCGATCCTCCCACCTCAACCTCCCAAGTTGCTGGGACCACAGGCATGAGCTACCACACCTGTCTAACTTTTGTGTTTTGGGCAGAGACAGGGTTTCACTATGTTTCCCAGGCTGGTCTCGAACTCCAGGGCTCAAGTGATCCATCTGTCTCAGCCTCCCAAAGTGCTAGGATAACAGGCATTAGCCACCGTGCCCAGCTCATATTTATTAATTCATTTAAAAATAGCAATGGCCTGGGAAACATGGTGAAACCCTGTCTCTACAAAAAAAAATTTTTTTAATTAGCTAGGCATGGCCAACACCTGTAGTCCCAGCTACTTGAGAGGCTGAGGTGGGAGGATCACTTGAGCTGAGGAGGTCAAGGCTGCAGTGAGCAGTGATCACACCACTGCACTCCAGCCTGGGTGACAGAGTGAGACCCTGTCTCAATATAAATAAATAACAATGAACTCATTACGTTTTATGAAAAATAACTGTTTTCCAAAACAAAAAACTGAGAAGAGTAGCATTTTAACATTTTTGAAAATATCTGGCAGTTGTAGTCTCATTTCAGCGTCTGCATTCAGTCTGTTGTTATATGTCATGTAACTTGTGGAAAGTTCCACTGTACTCTCATGAGAGAGAAAGGATTTTTATGAAATTATAGAATTATTATGAAGATAGTTTTGACCTTGTAGACCTACTGAAAGGGTCTCTGGATTCCCCAGGGTTCTGTAAACCACACTTTGAGAAGTGCTGATGTAGCAGAAAGGATAAATGCCAGGCTCTGGAAATTGACCAGCCTAGGTATCTTTTTTTTTTTTTTTTTGGAGATGGAGTCTCGCTCTGTCGCCCAGGTCAGAGTGCAATGGTGCAATCTCAGCTCATTGTAATTTCCACCTTCTGGGTAAAAGCAATTCTCCTGCCTCAGCCTCCTGAGTAGCTGGGGTTACAGGCGCCCACCATGACGCCTGGCTTTTTGTATTTTTAGTCAAGATGAGGTTTCACCATGTTGGATAGGCTGGTCTCGAACTCCTGACCTTGTGATCCACCCGCCTCAGCCTCCCAAAGTGCTGGGATTACAGGCATGAGCCACTGCGCCCAGCCTAGATACCTATTTTATAAGTTATGCCAAATGCCAGCCTTTTGTAATGTAGAATTAGTAATTTCTCAAAAGCTATTAATTTCAAATAATTTCACTTTCTTCAGTAACGTAATTCATTAACTGTGTAACTAAATCTATATATTTAATTTTTATCACAAATTAGAAAAGAGTCTTTTCCAATCACGTCTGGAAAATATCATAATAAAGCTTCATTCTGTAGCACAAAATAAACACTCAACAAGTATTTGTCAAATATTCTTAGGCTCCATATAGCTGGAACTGACTGGATATGAGTAGCTTTATGCTTTTCACCGAACTCTGAACTAATGAGGGCAGGATGTGAGCTAATGACAATGCTAGATTATTAAGTCTACACCATGATCCAGATAATAGTAATTTTAAAATTGGCTTCACCCAGGTAAGCAGAATATAGACTTGTTATATCAAAGAGGATTTCCTGCTTCTCACTTTCTGCTGGAGGTACCAGAGTACCCAGACTGAAATATGTTTCTAGTGAAATAATAATCGCTACTCTTTAATGAATGTTTACTAAATGTCAGGTATTGGTATAGGCATACATTGTATCATTTTATCTTTAACCCTGTGAGGTAGATATTATCTCCATTCTATGGGTATGTAACAGTCACAAGGTCTTTAAGCTGGTAAAATCTGTCTAACTACAAGTCCTGAGTTTTAATCACCTGACTGCTTCCGGATTAAAGAAGCCTGGGTTGGGGGTAAGAGTAGGAATTGGAAAGGCTGTTTTCTGCCTTTGGATTTTCATGCAATTATGTTGATAGGAAAAGGAGGAGGAGACAGGGTTGTTTAGATGATTTTTATCTCTAATATGGTATCAACTCAACAACAAAGAATGACTGCCTCATTTACTCTTCCGAATGCTGATTAATCCTGGGTCAGAATTGAGCTCCAATAGAACAAGAGTGGGTTTCACTAAAATCTGTTGCTTGTCAGTTACTGAGCAACTGCTGAGCACAGTACATTGGCAAATATGAAAGCAGTCTATTTGTGTTTAGAAGGAGTTTAAACATGAGTTAGGGATTAAAATATTATTGGTATACACAATAGTATACCAGTAAATGTAAATTAATGTATCCACTAGCATTGGCCTTTGAATGGAACTATTTTTTTTCCCACCTGTGTAAAAGAGAATGTGTTACAGATGTGGCTAACTTTATGCTCTGAATAAATATTACCCTATGGCTCAGGAACTTTGGTGATAAGGTAAAAAGTTTTCATAGAGGGAGAAAAGTTTCTTATTCTCAATCCCTCCTTTAGAGATAATATATTCTAGATTCAAATGCAGCTCAAGAAAATAGATCAATGGCACTCCATTTTACACCTCCCAGTCATATTTTCATTATGGGACTCCTTAAGATGCTAAGGGCTAAAACTGGTTTTGACTTATCCTGAAAGTGGCAATATAGAGCTTTTCCTAGTGCTGATATTCATAGAAATCTCTGGTTGTGGGGGAGAGTAAGATCCTTCTTGAAGAACCAAGGAATAGTTCCTCAATTTTCAAAGATTCAAAAGTTAGAAATTAATTATAATCAATCAATGATAACATCATAGAATCTTAGATACAGAAAAAGAAATCTTAGAAATCATCTCATAACCTTTTATTTTTTATTGGTTTTTTTTTTTTTTGAGACGGATTCTCGCACCGTCGCCTGGGCTGCAGTGCAGTGGCGCGATCTCGGCTCACTGCAACCTCCACCTCCAGGGTTCAAACAGTTCTCCTGCCTCAGCCTCCAAAGTAGCTGGGACTATAGGCGCCTGCCACCAAGCCCAGCTAATTTTTTTTTTTATTTTTAGTAGAGACAGGGTTTCACTATGTTGTTGGCCAGGCTGGTCTCAGACTCCTGACCTTGTGATCCTCCTGCCTCGGCCTCCCAAAGTGCTGGGATTATAGGTGTGAGCCACCACGCCCGGCTTTTTTATTCTTTTTAAAAATTTAAATCCATGGGACTCTGCTTGATATAACCTCTTCTTTTAGATGATGAAACCAAGACCCAAGAAATAAGTGATTTTACCAAGTTTATATGCCTTATTAGTAGATCTGAGACTAGGATAGAGTGCTAATAGGTAATTTCCTTCTCCCCTTTCCTAGCTTCCTGATTTCTTTCTTCTCGACTCCTGAAAGATCGAAGTATTTCCGTAACCTCTTGGTTAGGCAGGAAGGTATCCAAGACCCAGGATATCTATATGCAGGAAGAGCTTAGTCTCAGTTCTACTTTTCCCTCCAATTAAGATCTTGGTCTTTTGATGTAAGGAAAACTGCCATTTATTAATCACCTCCTTTGTGCCAGGGTCTTTCATATACATTATCTCATTGTATACTTACAAGATTCTTCTGAAGTAGATTAGTGGTTCTCACATTCTAATGGACATGTGAATCACCTGGGAATCTTGTTAAAGCGCAGGTTCTGATTTTGCAAGTCTGAGATGGGCTCAAGATTATGCATTTCTAAAAAGCTTCCAGCCAGCACAGTGGCTCACACCTGTTATCCCAGCATTTTGGAAGGTGAGGCTGGTGAATGTTGTCACCATAAAGAAGTGATAAATGTTGAAAGTGATGGATATGGTAACTACTCCAGTTTCATCATTATCCCATGTATACACGCATTGAAACATCACATTGTACCCCATAAATATGTACAATTATTATGTGTCAATTATAAATAAAAATTATTTTAAAAGAATTGGCCCTTGGGTTTTCTCCATTACAGGTTTATTGCCAAACCCTGTGCACTCCATATTGGCATCGAGGACAGTGGTCCTTATCAGGCCCAACCCAATGCCATCCTTGAAAAGGTGTTCGTATCTATCACCAAGGTAAGTGGGCAAAGAAACAGAGAGGAAAATTCACACAAGGCGTTGCTCCATGGGGCAGGGGAGGATAGACAGCACATATCTCTAAGGGTAAGGATAGGATGGGATGATCTTTCATGTCTGAGTAGTCTATGTAGCTATACGGAGAGCTTTATCCCCTCAGGGAAAACCGCTGGGCCCTACGTATGTCAAGTTTACATAGTAGTATGTTTGAGTTTTAGGCCCAGCAGCCACCTTTACCCCTCTTTCCCCAAACACACACCATATCTTGTTTTTGTTTTTCCTTGTTCCAGTTTCTGCCACTGCCTAGTTGTGTAATCGAAATGGAGACGGTACTGATAGCCTTTGCAGTTCGGTTTTTTGTTGGTTTTTTGGAGAGACAAGGTTTTGCTATGTTGCCCAGGCTGGTCTGGAACTCCTGAGCTCAAGCCATCCTTCGGCCCTTGGCCTCCAAAAATCCCAGGATTACAGGCATGAGCCACCATGCCTGGCCTGCAATTTGGGTTTTTAATATCCTTTTTTACTCAGCCTGGGCTGGAGGAAGAGTCGAAACAAGGATGTGTATAGGTGAGCAGTACAGGTCCTTGATATGTAAGATAAAATTTCTTACTAAAAATGACTTTGGGATAACTTGGAAAGATAAACATCACTTGAGCCACTATGGCTATCATACCTTATCACTCAGCTAGTCAATGGTATTGAAGGAGGGGTCTCGGAGGGGTCTGAGGAGACAGGGGTGTTGACTCTGCTTATACATTTACAGTATCCTGATAAGAAAAGGCTGGAGGGCCTGTCAAAGCAGCTGGATTGGAATGTCCGAAAAATCCAATGCTGGTTTCGCCATAGGAGGAATCAGGACAAGCCCCCAACGCTCACTAAATTCTGTGAAAGCATGTAAGTATGCAAGGAGAGAGGGAGGGAATAAAGAAGAGGGTGGGATACAACTGGACTGAAGTTTTCTTTTTTGAAAATCACTTCTGTTGTTAGGACAACAGTTAATGGATATAGAGAGCTAACTCAGCCTATTATTGGTAGGAAAGAAGGGAACTGGAACACTGATTCCCTTAAGTTTCTTGGACATGTTGCCACTAACCTAGGTATGGTTCCATTTTGTTTCCTTTTCCTAAATAGATTGGGAGTAAATCCTTATAACTGTACTTATGTAAGTAGATGTACTAACACATGTATACCTTAATAGAGGGAGTACTAGCTTGCTTGCTGTAAGTTGACAATTTTTAGGAAGCATTCCTTTTCTGGGAAATACTATTCTTCATTTTATTGAGCTTTTTCTAATTATCCTCTGAGCACTGTATTAGTAATTGTCATGTAAAGAAAAATGCTAGGGAGTCTGATGATAGAGCCTAGTATTTTTCCTCATGGAAGATGACTCTGTCTTTGGTTTTTTTGTTTTTGTTTTTGTTTTTTGAGACGGAGTCTGACTCTGTCGCCAGACTGGAGTGCAGTGGCGCGATCTCGGCTCACTGCAACCTGCACCTCCTGTGTTCAATCTATTCTTCTGCCTCAGCCTCCTGAGTAGCTGGGACTACAGGCGTGCGCCACCATGCCCAGCTAATTTTTGTATTCTTAGTAGAGACAAGGTTTCACTATGTTGGCTAGGATGGTCTCGATCTCTTGACCTGGTGATACGCCCGCCTCGGCCTCCCAAAGTGCTGGGATTACAGGCATGAGCCACCACTCCTGGCCCCTGTCTTTGGCTTTTTAAATGACAGTAGTTGCCCCTATTCTAGGAATTGATCCTCTTTCTCACCAGTAACTCTCTTATCCCCAGATTTGCTATCTTGACTTCCCTAGCCTCAGAGACTTCGGTTTCAGTGGACATTTGTCTAACCTCTCCTCTTTGTCCACCCAGGTGGAGATTCACATTTTATTTATGTATATTCTGCTATGGAATTAGATTTCTCTGGTCGGTGAGTCTTAACTTTCTCTAGTCCTCTGTTGGGTTCTAATCATGCCTAGATCTCTAGAAATAAGAGTTAATCTAGAAGCAAGAGTTAAATACCTTTAGATTTTTTTTTTTTTTTTTTTGAGACAGAGTCTCGCTCTGTCACCCAGGCTGGAGTACAGTGGTGGAATCTCAGCTCACTTGGAACCTCCGCCTCTTGGGTTTAAGCGATTCTCTTACCTTAGCCTTCTGAGTAGTTGGGACTACAGGTGCACACCACCATACCTGGCTAATTTTTGCATTTTTAGTAGAGACGGGATTTCACCATGTTGGCCAGGCTGGTCTTGAACTCCTGACCTCAGGTGATCCACTCACCTCAGCCTCCCAAAATGCTGGGATTTCAGGCGTAAGCCACTGTGCCTGGCATAAATACCTTTAGATCTTTATATTTCCCCCAACTTTTCCTCCTGTGATGCCCACAGTCCAGGTTTATATCCTAATAGATTGTCTTCTGTCTGGGGCCTGACTTCAGTAACCTTATAACTCTACTGCTTCTCCCTAGAAGATACTAGTAATATCAGTAATAACTAAATCAGCATAATACTTAATGGTTTACAAAGCACTTGACAAAAATTGAAGGAGGAGAAATGGAATCAACCCTTTAAAGTGGGTGAAACGGGTATTATTCCCACTTTTTAGTTAATTGTCAGAGTCAAAGAAGAATTTCAGGGGGCCAGGTACAGTGGCTCACATCTGTAATTTTAACACTTTGGGAGGCCAAGATGGGCAGATATTTGAGCCCAGGAGTTCAAGACCAACCTGGGCAACATGGTGAAATACCGTCTCTACAAAAATTTGCCTGGTGTGGTGGCATGTACCTGTAGTCCCAGCTACTCAGGAGGCTAACGTAGGAGAGTCACCTGAGCCCAGGAGGTCAAGGCTGCAGTGAGCAGTGATGGAGCCACTACATTCCAGCCTGGGTGACAGAGCAAGACTCTGCCTCAGAAAAAGAAGGAAGAAGAATTTCAGGCTTTTCTTGAGTTCATGTTTTTTTCCCTGTACCATACTATTTCTCTCTAAATGGTATCACTGTGTTTTCAAAATATTATAGACAAAAAACTGGCAGAAGTAAAGGAATAGACAAATATACAGTTGTACTTGAAGATGTTAATACTTTTCTCTCAGTAATTGACCTAAACCCCAGGCAAAATAAATAAATAATCACTAAAGATGTAAAATATATGAATGACATGATCAACCAGTTTTAGCTAATTGACATTTATAAAACACTACACCAACAGCTGAAGAACACATATAATTTTTAAGTGCATGTAGAAAGATAAACTAATGCTGGCCCATAAAATAAGTCTCAGTAAATTTCAAAATCTTGAAATCTTAAAGAATGTGTTCTCTAACCATAATGGAATTAAATTAGAAGTCAATTGTAATGAGAGACATGGAAAATATTTGGAAGTCGCCCGTGTGTAGTTGCTCACACCTGTAATCCTAGCACTCTGGGAGGCTGAGGCAGGCAGATTGCCTGAGCTCAGGAGTTCAAGACCAGCCTGGGCAATATGGCAAAACTCCATCTCTACTAAAAATCCCAACTGCTGGGGAGGCTGAGGCACGAGAATCACTTGAACCTGGGAGGCAGAGGTTGCAATGAGCCGAAATCACGCCACTTCGCTCCAGCCTGGGTGACAGAGCAAGACTGTGTCTCAAAAAAAAAAAAATTGGAAGTTAAACAACTCTTCTCAATAACCTGTGGATCAAATAAAAAATCACAAGAGAAATAAGAAAATATTTTTAATTGAATGATGCTAAAAGTAAAACATATCAAAATTTCTGGGATACAGATAAAACATACTTAGAGGGAAATTTATAGCTTTAAATGTTAATATTACAAAAGAAAGGTTTAAAGTTAATCTAAGTTTCTGCTTTAGCTTCTTGAAAAAGATAAGCAAAATAGGTTAAAGGAAGGAAATAATAAAAAATAAGCAGAAATTGGCCAGGCGTGGTGGCTTACCCCTGTGCTTCCCACACTTTGGGAGGCTGAAGTGGGAGGATCACTTAAGCCCAGGAATTCAAGATCAGCTTGGGCAAGATAATGAGATCCAATCTCTATAGTGAGACCCCATTTCTAAAAAACCATAATAAAGTAAATAAGTGGAAATTAATGAAATAGGCATTAGATAAACAATGGATACATTTGTGGGGTTTTTGTTTGTCTGAGACAGAGTCTCACTCTGTCTCCCAGGCTGGAGTGCAGTGGTGCAATCTCGGCTCACTGCAACCTCTGCCTCCTGGGTTCAAGTGATTCTCCTGCCTCAGCCTCCCGAGTAGCTGGGACTACCGGAGTACGCCACCAGGCCCAGCTAATTTTTGTATTTTTGGTAGAGACAGATTTTCACCATGTTGGCCAGGCTAATCTCGAACTCCTAACCTCAGGTGATCCTCCCACCTCCACCTCCCACAGTGCTGGGATTACAGGTATGAGCCACCATGCCTGGCCTGTTTTTGTTTTTGCTTAAAACAGGGTCTTACTCTGTCACCCAGGCTGGAGTGCAGTTGCATGATCACAGCTCACTGCAGCCTCAACTTCCCAGGCTCAGGCGATGCTACCACCTCAGCCTCCCAAGAAACTTGAGACTACAGGCACATGCACAACCACACTGGGCTAATTTTTGTATTTTTTTAGAGACGGGGTTTCACTGTGTTGCCCAAATTGGTCTTGAACTCCTGGGCTCAAGCAATCCACCCACTTCAGCCTTCCAAAGTGCAGGGATTAACAGGTGTGAGCTACTGTGCCTGACTATGGATAAAATTAATAAAGCCAAAAGTTCATTCTTTGAAAGGTCTGATTAAAATGGACAAACTCCAACAAAAAAAGAAAATATGAATTACCAATATGGGAAGGGTTATCACTACAGATCCTATATAGTCATTGAAAGGATAATAGGACAATATTATGAACAATTTAATGATAAGAAATCCAGCAGCAAAGATGATATACACAAACTCCTTAAAGGACATAATCATTATTCCATTAGAGATTATTAGTTTTGACTTCTGAACCTGGCATGGAGATACCTTTCTTGGTTATCAAATGAATCATTGTCTTCCTATATATATATTCCAGGTGGTGATACTTCCTAAAACTATCCTAAAATTCTCTTTGTTCTTATTTACCTCAAAGCATAGTTTTTCTATTTATAACACTCTGTTGTAGATGAACAATCTAGCTATTTATTGATCCTTTGGGGAGCCCTTAAATCTGTTTGGGGGCTTTCCTGTCTCTCTTTTGCCCCAGCCTAGAGAGAAGGGAATTATATGGGATAGATCTTGAAGCCAGGTGAGAATCTTGAGGATTGACATGGATTATCTGTTTTCTCTTAGTCACCTTGGTTCTGGGACATCCGACAGTGCTGGCATAACTATCCATTTCAGGTAGGATCTGAGTCGTTTCAGGATAGAGGTCTTGAATGTGTGTAAGATGGAGTGAGTGAGGGTCCTTTGCCAGTCCCCAGGACAGATGGTGTGTTTCCTTGGGACTGAGGGATTAGGGGCTCAGTCTCTTTAAGTCATATATTCAGGGTATCTATTTTTTATTTTTATTAATTTTCCCACTGCTAAGAGTCATATGAGGTATCTATTCCTGAGACCCCCATAGCAATGAAATCCAGTGAGTTTTTTTGTTCTGATTTTCCCCATTAAATTCACCCTAATTGGGCTAGAAATAAAAGCAGTTTTCTGGTATTTAATGAGGTACTTTCTGGTTCAGATGTCTTTTTTGTATCAAGGGTAACTTGAAATCCCATTAAGAGCATCTTGGTTGTAATCTATACTGGAAATATGTCAAAGAACTGCTAAAGGGGTGGAAGAGGAGAAGGCCTATGTGTATTCAATCCTGTAAAAAGCACTAATTGCCCAGAATCCTAGACATACTGATTTGATTGTGTTATAGTATGTGTTAACTGTATCTCATCTCTGTAAGATGACAGCTGAAGATGGGTGTGCAGAGGAGCGAGGGAAGAGGCTTAAGTCTCTACACCAATCCAAAGTCTGTTAGCTATTGCATATCTTGGGAGATAATGGGGAGGAGAAATGTCTAATAATTTGGGGTATTGGTCCTCCAAGGCAGAGAAAGTTGGAGAGATGGAATGCACGTTTGACTAGTCGGTAATCTAACTACTTCTTTCTCTCTTGCAGCCTCTTTCAAGTGGGCTTTATTACTATTATATCATGGAATTGGCCTTCTATTGGTCCCTTATGTTTTCTCAGTTTACAGACATTAAAAGAAAGGTAAGGACGTTGGCCCCCTCAAGTCCCAAACTTACTGCATCCTCCTTTCTAGCAGCTTCCATGACTGCCATTATGATGTATTATCTTCCCTGAGACCGCAAAAGGAGAAACTGGGTTTGATGGACTCTTAGCTTGTTGTAATGTTCCCAGAAATGAGACTGAATTAATGATGAAGTATATTTAAGACATTCAGGGAAGCCCCAGGATAAGAACAATTAACCAGCTAAGAAGCATACTTTTTTCCATATTCTTCTTTAAGCTTCTTACATATCTAAAGAAAAAAAAATCCTAGTCAGAATTGGGGGATAGCAATGCCTTATTTAGAAAAAACACCTGATTCCAGAAAAGCTGGATAATGGCTTTCACATGGCATTAGGGACACTTGCTCTCTCTGTACTCCCTTTCTGGTTACCCGACTTACTCAAAGAAAGTCAATTGGAAGGGGTTTTACTCTCTTCCTGCTATTGTTCAGGAAGCAAAGATTGAGAGAAGTGAGATGACTTGCCCAGATAGTGACAGAGTTGGAAATGACTTAAGTTTTATACAACCAAATAGAAAAGGCAGAATCTTTACTTTTTTATTAGCGTCTACCTGAAATAATGTGGTTCCAGCAGCTCTAACCCTAATCTGTCACTAACTCAGGGTTATCTTTGGTGACGAAAACCAGGGTTAGCATTTATGGGAATGAATTAAAACTTAACCAGGTTGTTAGTGTTATCTAACATAGAAACTTGATACTCAATTTTTATGCCTTTTACTCTCCTATGGTCAGAAGACACGGTCACTTTATTAAAATTTTATTTTAATTGTGATACATATAAGAAAGTTTGAAATACATATTTAAGTTTTAAACATAATAAACGGAGAAGTATTTAATAGATGTGTCTGATAACTCAAGTATTTAGAGACTTCCCTAGATCTAACTTGACATTTGAACCCAAGAGGAAATTAGAGCCACAAACCTATCCCTTCTATTAGGTCCTTGTGGTTGACGTTTCTCTCATTAAAACAGAAGAGTCATAGAATCTCAGAGACCTCTAAGGCTTGTATGTCCCACTGGGAAGTTATCCCCAGGTGTCAGTTCAGCATCCACACTATATATATTCCGTGGTTACCAAAGGAAATTTTTACTTTCTGGCCTTTGAGCTGCATTAACATAGAGTATGGGTCAGTCACTGATGTAGGGAGTGTTCAGTTAAATGCTAGGTAGCCAGAGGAGAGTCTAAGCAGAATGGAAACTTTTTTTTTTTTTTTTTTTTGAGACGGAGTCTCACTCTTTCGCCCAGACTGGAGTGCCGTGGTGCGATATTGGCTGACTGCAACCTCTGCCTCCCAGGTTCCAGCAATTCTCCTGCGTCAGCCTCCCGAGTAGCTGGAATTACAGGTGTGCGCCACCACGCCTGGCTTATTTTTGTATTTTTAGTAGAGATGGGGTTTCACCATGTTGGTCAGGCTGAACTCGAACTCCTGACCTTGGGTGATCTGCCCACCTTGCCCTCCCAAAGTGCTGGGATTACAGGCATGAGCCACTGCGCCTGGTCAATGGAAACTATTATATACGGGGTGGGGTAAGATCCTCAGAGAATAATGCAGGATATTGGGTTGGCTGGTGTTTCTACGGCCCAGCTTTTACCTCCCTCTTCTATTTGCATTCCTTCCTAGGACTTCCTGATCATGTTTGTGCATCACTTGGTCACCATTGGGCTTATCTCCTTCTCCTACATCAACAATATGGTTCGAGCAGGAACTCTGATCATGTGTCTACATGATGTCTCAGACTTCTTGCTGGAGGTAAAAACCCAATCTTTCTCCATCTTCTTCTTCTCTTCTTTTCTTCCTATGTGAGGACTTTCTCCCCAGCTCAATTCTTTCTTCCTTTCTCCAGGCAGCCAAGCTGGCCAATTATGCCAAATATCAGCGGCTCTGTGACACCCTTTTTGTTATCTTCAGTGCTGTTTTTATGGTTACACGTCTAGGAATCTATCCATTCTGGTAAGTGGTAGGGCTGTAGAGCTGTGGTAGGTATGAGCCTAATGATACCTTTTGCCAATTCTCATTTTGCCCATTCAGTTTTTCTGTTCTATTCTATTCTATTTTTGCCAATAGAACACAAGAACCCTATTGCCCTGCTTTTACCTTGGCCTGTGCTGACCTTTTATGGACTCTCATAGGACCTCTGCTGCCTCACACCGTATTTCTAGCAAGGTCGGATCCAGACTCAGAGTACTCGACTCGGTTGGCTTCTGGTTTTTTTGACTCATCTCTGAGGAACAGTCCTAATTTTATGCCTAAGTAATTCCTTTGCCTTCTTTTGCCCTGTTGATACAATTCTCAGGCCCTTCTTGCTTGTGTTCCTGCTCTGGTCCCAACCCTGACCAACACACACATATTCTCATTCTCTCTCTCTTTCTCTCTCTCATTCTCTCTCTCTCTCTCTCTCTCCCTCTCCTCTCCCCCCTCCCCCCCATCTCCTTTCACTTCTACATTCACTGCTTTATGGGAATCAGCTACCTACTGTCCTATCCTATATGTGTCTGAGGAGCTGAGTCATTCCTAGGATTAGAGTCCCACTTCTGTCCTAATTTCATCAAACTCTGCATATTTGAAGTCATTAATAATGTGACTTAATCCATCAGTTCCTAAGATTTATATATCTTTCCCTGTCCCTAAGGATAGAAAACACAACAGACTCCTCCCCTTCTTTATTTTCTTACTGTGGATGACAGTCCCCGGAACTTCAGCTGATAAAAGGGCTGGTAGGAAAACACACAGGGCTCTGCATCCCTAGGACTCGGCTTCATCCCTGTCTTCTGAGCTTTGACTTTAGAATCTGACCATTGGCCTCCCTCTTCTAGGATTCTGAACACGACCCTCTTTGAGAGTTGGGAGATAATCGGGCCTTATGCTTCATGGTGGCTCCTCAATGGCCTGCTGCTGACCCTACAGATTCTGCATGTCATCTGGTCCTACCTAATTGCACGGATTGCTTTGAAAGCCTTGATCAGGGGAAAGGTGAGGATGAAAGATGGCTTCTTTCTTTGGGGTATGGGGGAAGATAGGGATTACTCAACAGACGTTCTCTCTCCATCAAACCTGGTGAGCCCCATCTACTCAAGCAGGCCAAGCAAAAAGCCTAGGGCTCCAAAGTCTTTGCCTCTTCTATGAGTGTTTTGCCTTTTTTAGTTTAGAGACAAGGTCTTGCTCTGTCACCTAGGCTGGAGTTCAGTGGCATGATCACGGCTCACTGCAGCCTCAAACCTGGGCTTAAGGGAGTCTCCCACTGCAGCCTCCCAAGTAGCTGGGACTATAGGTGTGCACCACCATGCCTGGCTAATTTTCTTATTTTTTTGTAAATAGGGTGTCACTATGTTACCCAGGCCAGTATCCAAGTACTGGCCTCAAGCATTCCTCTCACCGCAGCTTCCCAAAGCAATGGAATTACAGGTGTGAGCCACCACACCAAGCCTGTTTTACCTTTTTTTTTTTGAGATGGAATCTCGCTCTGTCGCCCAGGCTGGAGTGCAGTGGCACGATCTTGGCTCACCACAACCTCCACCTCTTGGGTTCAAGTGATTCTCCTGCCTCAGCCTTCCTAGTAGCTGCGACTACAGGATGTGCCACCGTGCCCAGCTAATTTTTGTATTCTTAGTAGAGACGGGGTTTCACTATGTTGGCCAGCCTGGTCTCTAACTCCTGACCTCATCATCTGCCCACCTAGGCCTCCCAAAGTGCCAGGATTACAGGCATGAGCCACCGCACCCAGCCTACTGTTTTACCTTTTAAGATGTGACTTAGATGCAAGAGGGGAGTTCTGCCTTCTTCCTGTCCCTTAGGAATGGCTTTTGTTAAAGGATGATAGGGTTAAGAGTTTTTTAAGAGATGGCCTCAACCATTTCCTATCCCTTACCTACCTGCTTCAGTGGATTTCGTATTTTTCTTTTTGACATGGAGACTTTTTCAAAGGAAATCATATGCAGAGCCACATAAACTGTATAAAAGCAGATTGTTAAGTTGCTTAGAAATGGTGATAGTTCACAAGCCACCACAAGATAACCATGCTGTGATATTCAAGGTATGGTTTATATAAGGAACTAAATATACACCTCACCCCACTACTGTATGAGGCAAGTGTCCTAAGTGAATGGGTATGTAGTATTTCAAATACCCATCTTATGCCAAGAGCCAAAGAAAGGTGCCACTTAATGATAAACTCATAATTGAACTTTGCAAGTTTTGAAGTAGTCAGACTGTAATTAGTCCAAGAGCTAGGGATTTCAGCCTGAAGGAATACAGAATCCCAAGTGGGAGGGGCTCTGCTTGAGCAGGCACTGACACCAGGACCAACTGATAGAATGTGGCCTAGATATTGATGATCTCCTATGTCATTATTCCTTATAGCTGCCATTGGCTCAGAACTTGCTCAGCGTGCCTGTGCATCTTGCTGTAGCTACTGGACATCTCTGTTCTCTCCTGCTTCTTTCCTGACTAGGTGACCTGTCCAGGAAGGATTAAACCCTGTACTCTCCACTCTTTCCTCACCTCCTTCCTTTTTTCTATGCCTGGCGGGAGCTGGACAGTTTCATCTCTTGCATGTAAGTGTATCTGTGCTTCTAGTATTCAGTGAAGCATGTCCATCTGAATGTGGTTCTCCTTCCTCCTGCTCTCCTTTCTGTTCCCTTGTGTTGGTCTCAGAGCATGCCCTCTCTCCTGACTTTTCGGGGCCATTATTGACTAGAGCTGCAGTTGCCAGATGTTTTCCTAAATTGAGGCAAGAATTTGAGTCTTTTTTTTTGTTTCTGAGACTGTTTACCGCAAGTCTAGAGACACTCTGCCCTCTAGTGGAAATTTCCTAAAGGTCAGGTAATCAGTCATCTGAGTTCAGAGGTCAACAGCTATAATTAACTGTAGAAGACCCATCCAACACAAATTCAAGGAGCTGATCCAAAGCAAATGCTCACCTCCTTGGCCACAGCTGTTACAGCTGTGTTCTTTTTCACTTCCTTCTCTCCTTTATTTAAACTACATTTATTATCCTTCAGTTCTGGAGGTCAGAAGTCCGACACAGGTCTCACTGGGTTTCTGTCCTTTACTTTTAGAGTCCAGGGTGGAGTTGTTTTTTATTTTTTGAGACAGAACTTCGCTTTTGTTGCCCAGGCTGGAGTGCAATGGCATGATCTTGGCTCACCGCAACCTCCGCCTCTCGGGTTCAAGAGATTCTCCTGCCTCAGCCTCCTGAGTAGCTGGGACTACAGGCATGCGCCACCACGCCCGGCTAATTTTTTTTGTATTTTTAGTAGAGACGGGGTTTCTCCATGTTGATCCAGCTGGTCTCGAACTCCCGAACTCAGGTGATCCACCACCTCAGCCTCCCAAAGTGCTGGGATTACAGGCGTGAGCCACCGTGCCTGGCCCTTTTTTTTTTTTTTTTAAGAGACAAGGTTTTACTCCATTGCCAAGGCTGGAGTACAGTGGCGCAATCATGGCTCACTGCAGCCTCAACCTCCTGGGCTCAAGAGATCCTCCTGCCTCAGCCTCCCAAGTAGCTAGGACTACAGATGCATGTCACCATACCCAACTAATTTTGTCATTTTTTATTTTTTGTAGAGACGGGGCTGTCGCCATGTTGCCCAGACTGGTCTCAAACTCTTGGGCTCAAGCAGTCCTCCCCTCTCGGCCTCCCAAAGTGCTAGGATTATACGTGTAAGCCACCGTTCCTGGCCCATGGTGGAGAAACTGAAATACTTTGCTTGATATGCAGGACAGTTTAATTGGGAAATGCTGCTGTAATCCAGATGCTTCATTTGAAAATACGAAACAAAAAAGCCCATGTTAATAAGCATTCACAGATGGTAGCATGATTAGAACTGGGATTCTTTTCTGATTGACTGCCAGTCCATTTGTGTTTTCACTATACTGTGTATCTTGGGGATGCTGAAGTTTCACAAGAAAAGTGATCTTGCTATTAGGAAAGGGAAGAAGATTGGAAAACAGTGTCATAGGATAATGGTAGCTGAGCCTAGGAATGGGAAACTACTAAAAAAGGCCTGTTATGGATCAGCTTTGGGGATAAAGCAAAACAGCATAACCAATATGAATAAATGCATTGTCCACAGCCACCAGAAGATAGAAGCACTGCTGACAGTCATATGTATTGTTCATGTTAGCCTTCCCTGTTCTTTGGAGTGGAAGAAGAGAAGGGGTGTCTGGAGTTTCCCTGAAACCTAAACCAGGTCTCAATGAGTGATGTCAGTTCTCTTAGGCTGGTCCTGAAAGACACATCCCTCTACCAAAGTAGCTTCTATTCCATAGAGAACAGACTTGGAGATGGCAAGGGAGAAAACTAGAAAGCAGGCGAAGCATAGTCACAACATTAGCCATAGTCCAGACAATACTTTGAGTTAGATGTCATCAGAAAGCAGACCCGACTGGGAACACAGTGCCCACACCTGGGTTTCTGAGCTTAGGTGTCTCTTACAGTTCTCTCCAGAAAAGTTCTGCCCTCACTTTTCTGTCTTTGGTCTCATCCCACTCAGGTATCTAAGGATGATCGCAGTGATGTGGAGAGCAGCTCAGAGGAAGAAGATGTGACCACCTGCACAAAAAGTCCCTGTGACAGTAGCTCCAGCAATGGTGCCAATCGGGTGAATGGTCATATGGGAGGCAGCTACTGGGCTGAAGAGTAAGGTGGTTGCTGTGGGGACTTCAGTACACATGGACTTGTAGGGTCACTGGCAACGTACTCCTCTTGGCCCTTCCCATATCTACCCTTCTGTGACTGGGGGACTGCAAGGCACTGAGGAGTATCAAAGAAGCAAATATTTTCACTTTGAAAGAAAATGCTGCCATTTTGTATTTAATAGCCTCCAAGTTCTTTCAGTAATGTTATTTGCTCTGTTTTTGTGTGTTTGTTCATGTGCATTTGTGCATATGCGTGAGTTTCATTGCTGGGGTTGGGGCACAATTCTGGACTGGAGCCATGAGGCCTTCCCTAGTCCCCTTTGAACCCACCTTAGTTCCACATTTGGCTGCATCTTGAATTATACTGACTCCAGACTGTCTCCTCCCTTTTTGCCCTTGGCTCTTGAGGCTCTAAACCCCTGGGCCATCTGAATGGAGCAGCCAAGTTCAGTCCCAGATTTCTGCACTGTTCCTCTTTCACAGCTAGAATACGTTGCATGATGAAGTTGTATAGAAACAGAACCATGGATGGATGGCCAGGATTACTGTGGTCCCTAGCTAGATCCCCTTCCTATCACATGATAGCAACAGGGACAGCTGCCAATACCCTACTCTTTACTCAATGGTACCCAGGGAGGGGGCATGGGAAGAGGGTGAGCTGAGGGCTGGAGGAGGACAACAGCCACTGGGTGAGCTGTTCACGGTCTTGTACTATTGTTTACTCTGTGATTAAAAGTACTTCAACCCACCTCTACTGTCTCAACCTCTTTAGTGACTCTATTTCCGCAGTTTCCTGAATCCATAAGCTAATTAAGAGCTTTTCCAGGTCTGATTCAGAAGGCCCTGGACACCAAATTTTTCCTTTCTGTGCATGGTGGGAAGAGAATCAGCCAGGGTGCTTACATTTTAGAACTTTATGTTTTTTAAGAAAAAGTTAATAGGTTTAGTGGGTCACAAGAAGAATACTGGACAGATTCAACCATGTATATAGTGAAACCAACAAAAGCTTTGGTTGAAAAGCCAAGACGCCATTAGGTAAATACCTTATTTCCTATTTTAGTCAATACAGAGATTGTCAAATAACTTTTTTTTTTTTTTTTGGTAGAGATGAGGCCTCCCTATGTTGCCCAGGTTGGTCTCAAATACCTGGCCTTAAGCCAAAATGGGGATTATAGGCATTAGCTACCACATCCAGCCCAATTAACATTTTAAGGTTGTGATAAATAAATCTGAGGTGTTTTTTGTCTCAACTGTTTTCTCTTTTAGCCCATGGAGAAGCAGTCATCCTAATCCAGACTTTTCTCTGTGGTCTTGGCAAAATTACCAAATATAGTATTCATCTCCCAGAATAATTTTCCATTTGGTGAATGTTCATATTATCAAAATATTTCCACACGTGCTCTTAGGTACATTATGACATATGGAGAGTGTCAGGGAGAGAATGAAAATGGAAATAAATAGGTTATTGTTCTAAGAATCAGATACTCACTTGATGTTCATTGACATTATAGGGATATTGACCCTACTAAACTTACTAACAGACTTGATTTTTAGAAAGACTTACTGTGGGGAATAGGAAAACTTAAGTTCTAAGTAGTCATTTGGTCAGAGCTAATCAGGAAGACTAAAAATTAGGTCATACTTGGCCGGGCGCAGTGGCTCACGCCTGTAATCCCAGCACTTTGGGAGGCTGAGGTGGGTGATAAATCAGCAGGTCAGGAGATCGAGACCATCCTGGCTAACATGGTGAAACCACGTCTCTACTAAAAATACAAAAAGTCAGCCAGGCATGGTGGCACATGCCTGTAGTCCCAGCTACTCGGGAGGCTGAGGCAGAAGAATCACTTGAACCCGGGAGGCGGAGGTTGCAGTGAGCCAAGATAGCACCACTGCACTCCAGCCTGGGCAACAGAGTGAGACTCCGTCTAAAAAAACAAAACAAAACAAAAAAATTAAATCATACTTTTAGTTCCTCAACTTGGTATACTGAATAGACTAGTTGTGAAATATGAATGAAAATGCTTTTGAAAATCAGATGAGAGATGTATTTTGTCTTCTGAAATTTGAACAATTGCCTTGTTAATACAAACTGGATTGGTTGGTGTAGCTAATCTGACAAAAGATGCAACTGGATAAAACAATAATACAAAATAATAGCTAACACATGACGTTTATTACATGCTAGGCACTGTATTAAACACATATGACAATAGGAGGCAAGAGGTTAACCTGCTAAGGTCAAGCGGCTAGTAAGGAGTCAAACCCTTACTATTCCTATCTTACTGTCCCTCTATTCCTAACCACCGTACTCTCTATACCATAATCTAATTAACCACTCTGCAGTCTCTACCAGCACTTCCCAAGATTTCATAATGAGGAAAACTAGATGTTGCAGAAACATTCAGCCAAAGGCAGAGACTGATTCTATTAAATAGTTTGCACTGGATAAATGAAGTAAGATGAGGGTCAACTATCAGAACAGAATCTTGTTCTGAGAAAGAACTGTGTGCAAATGGTTGGTGCGGGGGTGAGAGGTAGGATTCTAGAGAGTTTTAATACAGAGATAGAAGATAACTGTTACTGGTGCTACATAAAACCATTTTGTAGATGGCCTGAAAGGACCCAAATTAGTGGCCAGTAGGTTAGGATAAAGACTCACATCATCTATACCAGAGAACCAGGAGTATTTTTAAGAGAAATAAGGCGTTACCTCTCCTCTGTTGGCTATAAAAGGGTTTTAACTTTATTATTATTATTCTTTTATTAGAGATAGGGTCTCATTCTGTCACCCAGGCTGGAATGCAGTGGCTTGATCATAGCTCACTGCAGCCTCGATCTCCTGGGCTCAAATGATCCTCCTGCTTCCCGAGTAGCTTTATTATTAATTGAAAAATCACTTATGTTTGTATAGTGCTTTACTGCTTAGAAAGTGATTTTTTTTTTTTTGAGACAGAGTCTTGCTCTGTCGCCAGGCTGGAGTACAATAGCATGATCTCGGTTCATGTTCAAGTGATTCTCCTGCCTCAGCCTCCTGACTAGCCGGGATCACAGGTGTGTGCCACCATACCCAGCTAATTTTTGTGTTTTTAGTAGAAACGGGGGTTTCCCCATGTTGGCCAGGCTGGTCTCAAACTCCTAACCTCAAGTGATCCACCCGCCCTGACCTCCCAAAGTTTTGGGATTATAGGTGTGAGCCACTGCGCCTGGCAAAAGTGATTTCACATACAACAATAACCAAGGTTTAAAACACAGGGAAGGGAAGGGCGGGCAGGGCAGAAGGAGGAGGGGAAGGAAGGGGAGGAGAGGGGAGGGGAGGGGGAAAAACTGGCTGAGCCAAGTATGTTAAAAAAAAAAAAAAAAGAAAGAAAATACTTCTGTAGAAATAGGATTATCCCCATTCCATAAATGAGTGTTGTGATTATCTATTAATATGTAACAAACCACCCTAAAACATAGTGGTTTAACAGAGTAATTATTGCTCATGATGTGATTGGTTGGTTGAGCTCAGTTGGAGGGATCTCATGTGGTTGTAGTCAGATTGTAGCTGGGAATGGAGTTACTTATTTGAATGAAGACGCAGCTGCACTGGACATCCAAGATGATTTACTCACCTGGTTTTGCCTGGCTATCAGTCGATGCTGGATTTTCGCTAGGAGCTCAGGGCTGTCAACTGAAGTGCCTGTACATGCCTCTCCATTATCTTGGGCTTTGCACAGGTGGCTAGGTTCCAAGAGGCAGGAAGCAGAAGCTGCTAGGCCAGTTAGGAGTGTTGTCTAGGCTGGGCATGGTGGCTCGAGCCTGTAATCCCAACATTTGAGGAGGCCAAGGCAGAAGGATTGCTTGAGGCCAAGAGTTTGGGACCAGCCTGGGCACAAGGCGAGACCCCATCTCTACAAAAAATTTTAAAAAGTAGCCAAGTGTTGTGGTGCACACCTGTAATCCCAGCTACTCTGGAGAATCAGGTGGGAGGATTACTTGAGCTCAGAGTTTGAAGTTACAGTGAGCGATGACTACACCACTGCACTGCAGCCTGGGCGACAGAATGAGACCCTGTCTCAAAAAAACAGTGTTGTCTAGTAGTGGCACCCATCACTTCCACTGTATGCTACTGATCAAAGTAATCACAGGGACTGCCCAGATGCAAGGCAGGGTGGTAAGACAGACTCTACTTCTCGATGAAGAAGTGACAAGGTCACTGAAGAGCAGTGGAATGGGAGACATTGCTGCAGTCATCTATGAAAGATTGAATATGCCACAATGAGGAAACCTAGTCTCAGAAGTTGTTTAAAAACAAAAAGGCCAGGTGTGGTGGCTTAACGCCTGTAATCCCAGCACTTTGGGAGGCTGAGGCAGGAGGACTGCTTGAGGCCAGGAGTTTAAGACCAGTCTGGGCAACAAAGGGAGACCCCATCTCTACAAATAATTTTTTAAATTAGCCACAAGTGGCGCCATGCACCTGTGGTCCAGCTACTCAGCAGGCTAAAGTGGGAGAATCTTCTGAGCCTGCAGGTCAAAACTGCAGTGAGCCGTGATTACACCACTGCACTCCAGCCTAGGTGACAGAGTGAAACCCTGTCTCAAACAAAACAAAAACAAAAAACCAGACTGTCCATCCTAATCCTAAACATAATTACATAAGTTTAGTTAGTGGGTGATAAATGAAGTTCTTCAGACTTTAAATCCAGTATTCATAGCCAGGTACAGTGGCTCACATCTGTAATCTCAGCACTCTGGGAGGCAGAAGCAGGCAGATCACCTGAGGTCTGGAGTTCAAGACCAGCCTGGCCAACATGGCGAAACCCCATCTCTACTAAAAATACAAAAATTAGCCAGGCACAGTGGTTGCCACCTGTAATCCCAGCTACTAGGGAGGCTGAGGTAGGAGAATCACTTGAACCCTGGAGGTGGAGGAGATTGCAGTGAGCCAAGATCGCACCACTGAACTCCAGCCTGAGTGACAGAGTGAGACCCTGTCTCAAAAAAATAAATTTAAAAATCCAGTATTCATGCAGGAAAATATTTTCAGTTCAGTAACATAGTCATTAAGTACCTACTTTATATTAGGCACTATGGCAGGAGCTGTAGACACAAAGATGAACAAGACCTGGTTTCTAGCCTCAAAGTGCTCACACTCCAGTAAGGGGGAAATAAAATACAATGTGATAAGAACTATTCTAAATTATTCTTGGCAAGGTGGAGGAAAACTTTAAAGTAAAGCTGGGCCATTAGAGTTAGGTGGAGTTTTGCCAGGCAAAAAAGCAATGGAAGGGAAGGGTATTATGTTTAGAAGAGACATGAGAGTATAGGAAAGATATCAGTTCTAGCTTAATGCAGACTAAAATAAACTGAGACAAACATGTAGAAGTGATAGATGAAGTATTTTCTAGGCTGTTTTTTAAAAATGCATAGCAGAGCTTCCAAGAAAGACTAAAGACAAAGGAACTGAAAACTAGAGTGGACAGGAAAATAGCCAATGCAGTTACTGAGGGGATAGGGGAAATGTACCTTAAGGACTTGTTTTAATACAACTAAAGACAAGACTGGCTCCAGGTAGGAAACTGAAACCCCCAGTTAAAGCTGGGACCCTGAAAGAGCGACAGCCTTACTGAAAGAGGGAAACCATCAAAAACCCACCCAGGTGGTAAAAGGAAGAAGCAAGGAAGTTTGAATGCCTAGCCTTGTGGGATCAGGAGATGCTTAAAAATTCTGAATCCTGGGCCTGCACCTTATGTGAATTTTAGAATCTTTC